AGAGAGAGAGAGAGAGAGAGAGAGAGAGAGAGAGAGAGAGAGAATGCTTACGTTTTCCTAGCGTCAGGAGCTTCGATAGTTCTCGACCCGTGTGCCGTGTGGGTACCACATCTGGTGCGCGAAGCAAAGCGTTTGATTCTTGATTGTACTGACAGCCGGTACGACGAGGGACGCTCATGTTTGCCTTTGGGCTGTGTCTGCCGAATCGAACTTGCGGCGACATTCGAAGGGGTCTCATCTTGGAGCTGGCAGCCGAACTCGGCGTCCTCGCGGAGGAGAAGAGGGTTTCCCTGTCCGAGCTGCATTGTGCGGACGAGGTCTTCACAACGGGTACCATGGGAGAGGTATATCAGACAGATTTAAGCCCTCCGACATAACTTACCCATTGAGGCGAAGCGGCCTTCCCCCGTCCGCTGCTCTGTAATGCAGTCCTGCTGTTTTCCTCTTGCAGTTTCCACAATATGGAGTCAAGATTGTCGAGTTTAACACGTCTGACGATATGCTTCATACGGTGGCGGGCGCTAGCACGTGTCTTTCCCTCCCGCCAGGGTGAAACAATCGAGTCGGAAGATTGGCTTCCTTTCGGATGCTCCCCGGCTCCGCATGCGTTGTCTTTATCGGATTGCCGTCATTTATTTCGGAACCTGACCCTCATCCAGTCCTACCTATCTCTTTATCGCTCTCTCGTTCGTCCTCTCTTTGTCTCTCTACCTCGCTCGAAACGAAAAACATAGCTTTCTCCCGTGGTGAAGATCGATGGGCGTCTGATCGGGGATGGACAACCGGGACCTTTGACATCACGCTTGAGGGAAGCATTTGCTGAAATGACAGATCGCGAAGAATTGGGGACGCCTCTTCCGACGTGCGCATGAAATACGTTTCTTTGTGATCGAGCTAGCACGCGCAGGGGGGCACTCAGTAGGGGTTGAATACGACGAAGAGTGTATGAGGGCCTTCGAGAAACCCATGCTACACGTGCTACAGCGGTAGTGGCAAGTCGATTAGACAAGTAGAGTTTGTAGTCGTTTTAGCCTCGGCCTTATTGCGTAGAGGAAGAAAAAGGCACATAAAAAAGCTATGCAGCGTGTCTCGCGCCCAGGGCAGGGGCGGTGGTAACGTGAAGAGCGTGCCTGAGTGGAGGAGCAACCGCCTCAGGCAGGCACACATGCGAAACAAGGTTCCACAAACGGCGAAGAAAGTATCACTCGTATCTGCAGGTATCGCGACCCCGGCCTGCGCGCCGCTGAATAAGTCTCCCCCAGCCCTCAGTTTGTTACGGTCATCATCACGAACATGACACCACATCGAAAAACGTGCTGCGTGGCTGATTCAGTCGCCTCATATCTACGGGTAGTACGTCACGAAAAGACATATTTCACACATTACATTGTGTCACCTCCGGTCCCCCCAACGGTCCAAGGGTCAGGCGGCCCGGCATACCCGAGCAGGTGCGTTTTTATTCATTTGGTACGTACGTAGTCTCGTGCACACAAAGATTCCGGCTTTATGCTTAGGTTGTGGGTTGAAATATCTCGGGAGTGAGTGGAACGCGTCGCATACGCGTGGTGGCGTGAAATATATTCCGAAAGGTGCAGACAGGTGCCAAAAAAAATAGGATGAGTCCAGCGGTTTCCTATTCGTGCAAAAATAATGAGCCGCGGAGCGCGCGAGCGCGACTTTTTCTCCCTTCATGCCAGGAGCGAACAAAAGGCTTTCAATATCGGCCTGATCCGACGCGATGCAAAGGGGCCCAAGTTTGATTTCCGCCTGGGTTTCCGGTCGACCGAGTGTAGTACCCTCTTTTTCGACCACTACGAGGTCTGCTGACTTCTGAGGAGGGAGAAACATTGGGCATTCCTCGCCAAACCAACTTGGGCGTACCCCGTTAACAGATGGTCGTGCTACCGTGGGGCTCATGTGCCCAAATTCACATGTAGTACGAGATACTTCACCCCAGCCCCCTGCAGTTAGTTGTAGAGGAGACGGACAAACGAAATAATCGAAGATCGCACGCACACACACAAAAAAAAAAAAAAAGACAGGTACCACAGACTTTCACCCACCCGCTGTGGCCTAATCCCTTCCGTAGCTAAAAGTTCAGCGGACACGGTGTCCGTTCTCTGGCTACACAACAGGGAGTCTCGCGATTTTGCGGTTCGAAAATTCTGATAACCATGATGACAGGTGAAATGAGATGGAGGTCTTCCCTACACCAGCAACAAAAGCTCCAGCAGAAAACCAAATTGGTGCATTTGGTGGTGTTGACGCAGTCGCTCCATGGGACTCAGGACCCTTGAGGTTCGCTGATTGTCATCGGCGTTGGTCCTAAGGATCGTGGGAGACAAGAATCATCGTGGAAGCTAGGCATCGTTCAACCTGACCATCGTCGATCAACAGGATCGTCGAGGGTTGTGAGGATCGTACAAAATAACTGTCGTTTGTCCAGAAGATCGTTGGCTCCAAGGATCGTTTAGGATCGTTGAACATGACAATCGTTGGTGAGGAGGATCGTTGGCACGGATGATCGTTGCCACCTAGAATCGTTAAGGATCGTTGAAAATGGCTATCGTTGTTCGGAGCATCGTTGGCACCGACAATGGTTGGGGATCGTTGGGAATGACCATAGGTGGTCGGGAGGATCGTTGGCACCGACAATCGTTGGGAATCGTTGGGAATGACTATCGTTGTCCGGGAGGATCGTTGGGGTCGAAAATCGTTGAGGATCATGGAAACAACCATCGTTGGTACGAAAGATCGTTAGCACCGAGAATCGTTGGAAATGACTGTCGTTGGTCTCGAGGATCTATGGCACCGAGTATCGTTGAAAACGGCAATGGTTGGCCTGGAGGATCGTTGGAACCGAAGATCTTGCTGGGGCTCGTTGAAAATGACTATCGTTGGTCCGGAGGATCGTTGGCACCGAGGATCGTTGAAAATAACTATCGTTGACCCGGAGGATCGTTGAAACCGAACATCGTTGGAGATCGTTGCAAAAGACTATCGTTTGTCCGGAGTATCTTTGGCACGTAGAGTCGTTGAGGGTCGTTGGAAATGACAGTCGTTGGTCCGGAAGACTGTTGGCACCTAAGATCGTTGGAAATGACTGTCATTGGTCCGGACGATCGATGGCACCGAGAATCTTTGAGGACCGTTGGAAATGACTGTCTTTGGTCTGCAAGATCATTGACATCCAGGATGGGTGGGAATGACTATCGTTTGTCCAGAGGACCGTTGGCACCGAATATCGATTAGGTTCGTTGAAAAAGACTGTATTTGGTCGGAAGGATCGTTGGCACCGAAACTCGCTAAGGATCGTTGGAAATGACTATATTTTGTACAGAGGATCGGTGGCACCGAGAATCGTTAAGGATCGTTTGAGATGGCGAACGTTGGTCCGGAGGATCGTTGGTACCGAGAATCGTAGAGGATCGATGAAAATGGCTGTCTTGGTCCGGAGGATCGTGGACACCGAGAATCGATGGAAATGACTGTCGTTGATCCGGAGGATGGTTGGAACTGAAAATCGTTGGGGATCGTTGGAAATATCTATCGTTGGTCAGGAGGATCGTTGGCAACGAATATCTATAGGACGGAGGATCGGTTGCACCGAAAGTCGTTGGGGATCGTTGGAAATTATCGTTGGTCGGGAGGATGGTTGGCACCTAGGATCGTTGGAAATGACTATCGTCGGTCCGAAGGATCGGTTGTATCGCAGATCCTTTGGGATCGTTGCAAAAGACTATCGTTGGTCCGGGGGTTCTTCGGCACGTAATGTCGTTGAGGATCGTTGAAATTGACAGTCGTTTGTCCGGAGGGTGGCTGGCACCGCTGACGGTGGAGGATCCTTCAAAATNCGTTGGTCCGAAGGATCGTTGGTACCGCAGATCCTTTGGGATCGTTGCAAAAGTCTATTGTTGGTCCGGAGGGTCTTCGGCACGTAATGTCGTTGAGGATCGTTGAAATTGACAGTCGTTTGTCCGGAGGGTGGCTGGCACCGCTGACGGTGGAGGATCCTTCAAAATGACTATCGTTGGCCCAGTGAATCGTTGGAACCGAAGATCGTTCAATGTGGCAATCATGAGTTCCGCGAATCGTTGTAAGCGAAGTGGTTGAATCTGACTGTCGTGGGTCTCGAAAACCATTGAAACCGAATATCGTGGAATATGACTTCAGCCGATGCCACTGGTCGTTGGATCCCACAATCGTTGAGGGTCGTTGGAAGTGACTATCGTTGCTCCAGAGCATCGTTAGCACCCACTTCGTTGAGGAAGGTTGGAAATGAAAATCTTTCGTTCGGACTATCGTTGGCGCCGAGAATCATTGGGACGGGCTATCGTTGGTCCGGAAGACTGTTGGCACCGAGAATCGTCGAGGACCGTTGGAAATGACTGTCTTTGGTCCGCAAGATCATTGACATCAAGGATGGGTGGGAGTGACAATCGTTGGTCCGGAGGATCGTTGGCACCGAATGTCGACTAGGTTCGTTGAAAAAGACTCTATTTGGTCGTAGGATCGTTGGCACCGAAACTCGTAAGGATCGTTGGAAATGGTTATCGTTGGTACGGAGGATCGGTTGCACCGAAAGTCGGGAAGGATCGTTGGAAATTACTATCGTTGGTCGGGAGGATGGTTGGCACCTAGGATCGTTGGAAATGACTATCGTCGGTCCGAAGGATCGGTTGTATCGCAGATCCTTTGGGATCGTTGCAAAAGACTATCGTTGGTCCGGGGGTTCTTCGGCACGTAATGTCGTTGAGGATCGTTGAAATTGACAGTCGTTTGTCCGGAGGGTGGCTGGCACCGCTGACCGTGAAGGATCCTTCAAAATGACTATCGTTGGTCCCGTGAATCATTGGAACCGAAGATCGTTCAATGTGACAATCGTGAGTTTCGCGAATCGTTGAAAGCGAAGTGGTTGAATTTGACTGTCGTGGGTCTCGAAAACGGTTAACCATTGAAACCGAATATTGTGGAATATGACTTCAGCCGATGCCACTGGTCGTTGGATTTCGCAATCGTTGAGGATCGTTGGAAGTGACTATCGTTGCTCCAGAGCATCGTTAGCACCTACTTCGTTGAGGATGGTTGGAAATGAAAATCTTTCGTTCGGACGATCGTTGGCACCGAGGATCGTTGGGACTTACGATCGTTGGTCCGGAAGACTGTTGGCACCGAGAATCGTCGAGGATCGTTGGAAATGACTGCCATTGGTCCGGACGATGATTGGCACCGAGAATCTTTGAGGACCGTTGGAAATGACTTTCTTTGGTCCGCAAGATCATTGACATCCAGGATGGGTGGGAGTGACTATCGTTGGTCCGGAGGATCGTTGGCATCCAATATCGATTAGGTTCGTTGAAAATGACTCTATTTGGTCGGAAGGATCGTTGGCACCGAAACTCGCTGAGGATCGTTGGAAATGACTATCTTTTGTACGGAGGATCGGTGGCACCGAGAATCGTCTAGGATCGTTGGAAATGGCGATCGTTGGTCCGGCGGATCGTTGGTACCGAGAATCGTAGAGGATCGATGAAAATGGCCGTGTTGGTCCGGAGGATCGTGAACACTGAGAAGCGAGGGAAAATGCAATCGTTGGACCGGAGGATGGTTGGAACCGAAAGTCGTTGGGGATTGTTGGAAATAACTATCGTTGGTCCGGAGGATCGTTGGCGCCGAGATTCGTTAAGGATCGTTGAAGATAACCATCTTTGGTGCAGAGGACTGGTGGCACCGAAACTCGTAAGGATCGTTGGAAATGACTATCGTTGGTACGGAGGATCGGTTGCACCGAAAGTCGGGAACGATCGTTGGAAATTACTATCGTTGGTCGGGAGGATGGTTGGCACCTAGGACCGTTGGAAATGACTATCGTTGGTCCGAAGGATCGGTTGTATCGCAGGTCCTTGGGGATCGTTGCAGAAGACTATCGTTGGTCCGGGGGTTCTTCGGCACGTAATGCCGTTGAGGATCGTTGGAAATGACAGTCGTTTGTCCGGAGGGTGGCTGGCACCTAAGATCGTTGGAAATGACTGTCATTGGTCCGGACGATCGATGGCACCGAGAATCGTTGAGGACCGTTGGAAATGACTGTCGTTGGTCCGCAAGATCATTGACATCCAGGATGGGTGGGAGTGACTATCGTTGGTCCGGAGGATCGTTGGCACCGAATATCGATTAGGTTCGTTGAAAATGACTCTATTTGGTCGGAAGGATCGTTGGCA